GTGTGATATTGAATATTCAACCACAAACAATGACTTGAACAAGCTACTTTAACTCACTCTCTGTTTATTTGAAACATTTCTTTCCTCAGAAGCTCTTGAGTTAACAAACAAATGCTTTTAGAAAGAAAGCCAGTCAATTAGGACCAGAAACATGATAAACATTCCAAAGCAATGGATTCATAGAAAACACCCATGAATAAGAATAATTGCCAAGAAGCCATTTTCATTTTTAAAAAAAGTATATACATGCCAGACATGTATTTACAATCTTCTTATTTAGCCTTCTAATAATTTCTCCCTCCCTTTCCCAATTTCCCTGAAAGTTGGTTCCTTTGAGATTATGCATCCAATTTTAGTCCATTTTGATGAGGTGAAACCTAACCCACTTTTGTCCAGGCTACCACACAGTCTAGAGTGAAATTTTGGCTATGGGTGTGTTTTAGGAGATAATATATCTCTGGATGATTAGCTGCAAAATTGCAGTGGAAGTAATTCATTTTCATTTGCCTACATTTTGATGTTGTCAGTTTGTCTATATTTTGATGCTCGGTGCTTTGGGAAGGGGGGATTTAACTGCCAGGCTGAAAGTTTCAGATTGTTTTATTTTGTGGCTCAAACACTAAACAGGGATTTTACAGTGTACAGTTAGCTCTTGGGTTTAAGTTGGAGAACATAAAAGTGTTACGGATAGGAATGCCTGAGGCAGGAAACTACTTAGCAAACACTTTATACATTTCAATATGACAGGGGAAAAAAAAGTTCTTTACTATTACAGGTTCATATCACATCTGCATGTTTTTATCAGAGGTTCAGATTTCCTGAATCAAATTACAGCTTTAAAAAGGGCAGCATAAAAATGCATAGTTAAATATGCTCTTTAGATGTCAATTTTCCCTCAGAATAGGCACTGACTGAAATCACATTTTCACTGCCAAGATCTGCCTTGGAAATTTAGAAAGTGTAAGTGTTGGTGAATAGATAACATCTCATCTGCATGTTGGTTTAAAAGAACTGAAGAACTGGCAGATCTGCAAATCAGCTTCTAGTCACAAGTAAGTCTCAGCTTACTTACTCAGTTTTTCTCACCTCCAGAAAACAAAGTTCCCAATTCAGGCTCTTCTTTTGTCAAAATGTTTTCCACCTTCCAAATAAAAAAAGTTGCTAGTAGCAATTGGGCCAGTAGGATTTTGAACCATGTAGTTGTCCCAAAAGTGCTTTTTCAAAAGGCAACTGGAGGATTTATATTCAAATATATCAAAAGGATTTATATTCCAGGCTGGAAAAAATAACAGATCAACTGATTGATAGGAAACCAGAGACATTTTTATTAGGAATATTCACTAGAAAATATACTAAAGAAATAAAATACTTGATTTTACATATTATAACAGCCGCACGAATATCATTTGCACAAAATTGGAAAAATAAAAATACACCAACAGAGGAACAATTGATAACAAAAATGTTAGAGTGTGCCGAGATGGACAAATTAACAAAAGAACTTAAAGAAAAGGAAGATATGGAATACTATGTAATATGGAACAAATGGTACAACTGTCTGGAGATTAGAAATAGTGAACAATAATGAAAGGGGAGAAATCATAAATGTAAAAGGTTTATATGACAATGTATAAAATGTACAAAATTAATATCATGATTGTTAGGAATTATAATGTAAATAAGAGAAAAAGGGATGAGAAGGAAAAGTACAGTATAAGGGGAAATGGGGGAAGATGTAAATATTAGATGTTATGAAACAGTTGTAAAAAAGGAATTTATAGTATGTGTTTTGTGTTTGTTATATTCTGTTGCGTTATAAATTTAAAAAAACATTTTTAAAAAAGGATTTATATTCCTTGCAGTCATTTTCTCATTAGGAAGGAATATTAAATCCTTCCATCCTCTACCATTTGGCTACAACTGAAGAAGCTTCTTGGATGAGAAGCTAAACATCTTCAAGGAAAAAACAAACTCTAGTTGCCTTTTGAAAAAGCACTTTTGGGACAACCATGACCTGGATGACTGAGAAGATATGACTGCATATCGGACATTAATACAATTGAGCGTGTCCAGAAATATTTCATGAGAAGAGTCCTCCATTCCTCTACCCGCAATAGAATACCTTATGCCACCAGACTTGAAATTTTGGGCCAAGACAACTTAAAACTACGCCACCTTCGGTCTGACCTAAGTGTAGTACATAAAATTATCTGCTACAACGTCCTACCTGTCAATGACTACTTCAACTTCAACCATATACACGAGCACACAGTAGATACAAACTTAAGGTAAACCACTCCAAACTCGATTGCAGAAAATACGACTTCAGCAACAGAGTGGTCAATGCCTGGAATGCACTACCTGACTCTGTGGTTTCTTCCCCAAACCCCCACAACTTTGACCTTAGACTATCTACTGTCGACCTCACCCCATTCCTAAGCGGTCTGTAAGGGGCGTGCATAAGCACACCAACGTGCATACCGTCCCTGTCCTAATGTCCCCTTTTATTTGTATCCATCTCATGTATTCATAACTATGTCTATACTTATATCTGTTATCTAATATATGTTTGATTAAATAAATAAATAAATAAATAAATAAATAAATAAATAAATAAATAAATATTTCCACAGACATTGAACCATGCGGCTCCTGCCCTGATTACAAGAAGCCCATCTATTAGTAGATGAAGTCTCTTCAAGCTCTTGGATCATCGCAAATGATAAATCTCAGCCCTACCGATAACTGCAACAAGTGATCCCCCAAATCACCCAATGAATTATTGATTAATCATGTGAATTTTAATTAATGACAACTATCCTTTTCAAGCAATGTTAAAGGACAGGGGACAAATGCCCGATTCATTTTTTTAAATGATGTTCTCATTCTAATAGCACCATAAATAACTATTCTGTCTCTGCCTAAAACAGAAATAAGTGGAACACCTCTTCAGAAATAGCATCTATTATCTTATAAAAAATTTCAGTGATGGGCATATAGGAATTTGGTTCGCTTATTATACAAATTTGTAATTTTGGACAACAATGTTACTTTTATTCAAGATCATTGAACAAGTGGTCCGAGTACGTAGAGAGTTTTTGTCAATATAACGGTCCTCAGCTTACAACCACAACTGAGGCTAGGATTTTCATTGCTAAGCAAGGTGATTGAATCATGTCCTTTTTGCCACGGTTAATTGAATCACTGCAGTTGTTAAGTGAATCAAGAAAGTCATTAAGAGAATCCAGATTCCCCCCAATTAAATTTGCTGGTAGGAAGCTGGTGGAAAGATGGCAAATGATGATCATATGATCCCAGGACACTGCAACAGTCATAAGTACATGCCAGTTGCCAAGTGCCTGAATTTTGATCATGTGACCTTGGGGATGCTAAAATGGTCATGAGTGCAAGGCCCAGTCACAAGTCACATTTTTCAGTGCCCTTGTAACTTCAAACAGTCACTAAATGAATGGTTGTTAATCAAGGACTACCTGTGCAGGTCTTAATTAGTATGGTTAATGAATCTCATAAAATTTTCACATTATTTGAATTTGTATTATTCATAGCTTTTTCTATTCTATGGAAAATAGGATAACTGATGCAACTCAATGGAAATAGGCAATTAAAACTTTTAAAGTTCACCCCCCCTCACTGTTCTACTTACCTTTGCAGACTCAGAAAAGATTTCTTAATCTTCCTTTTTCAGCGCTGCGTGGTAGTGCCTGCAGTGCGCATGCGTGCAAAGCATGCATTTGGCGTGCACCGCGCATGCACACGTGAAGCAAACTGTTAGCAAAGCGAACTGGTAGCAGACTTCAGAGCATTTCACCCCTGCCCTGTTCCCTCCTAATCCCATTTCCTAGATTATTGTGTGTCGAGATCTGTATCAGGGGTGAAATGCTCCTGGTTCGGACCGGCTCGGGCAAGTAGGTAGTGATGGCAGCGGGCAGTTCGGAGAACTGGTAACAAAAATCCCTGCCCCCACACCCCATGCCCAGCTGAGCCACGCGATCATCAGAGGCTTTTTTTCTTTTAAATGCCTCTGACAAGCCAAGCTTTGATGATCCAAGCTCTGACGATCCCAGCTGAGTTGCTTGCTAATCAGGCAACTCAGCTGGGATCGTCAGACCCATTTAAAAGAAAAAAAGTTTTTTCTTTTAAATGGCTCTGACGATCCAAGCTCTGATGATCCCAGCTGAGTTGCCTGATCGGCAGATGATTTTTTAAAAATCCTCTGATGATCAGGCAACTCAGCTGGGATCGTCAGAGCCTTTTGAAAGCATTTTTTTACATGGTTTTACATGTAAAAAATGGTTTTAAAAGTAAAAAAAAAAATTGGCCACGCCCACCCAGTCACATTACCCCACCACCACCAAGCCATGCCCACAGAACCGGTAGTAACAAATTTTAGATTTCACCACTGATCTGTGTTATATTATATGGAAAGTATGAATAATTTAAAAGAGGATTTCCCTGGGCTACCGGTTTTGAAGAACGACTGGAGAAAACTAAGTGAATTAAAGATGGCTGCGGCTAGGTAGTTCTGTGTAAACTAAATTAAGGATTCAACAAGCCTAGGTAAGTAGCTCCCTGGTAATTGCTTTTGCACAGCTGTCTCTTAACTTCATAGCCTCTTTTCAGATTAAACTTTACCTCTTACACTTTTCAGTCATCCCCAAAAGACTTAGACTTCAGGTAAAGAACCAAACAGAATGAAAATGGCTGGAGATGAAAAAAGACACAGACAGGTAGACATCAATTTACAATTGGGACCAGAACGTCCATAGCTAAATTATGCAGTCATTAGATGAATCACAAAAACATCAATTTTATGACCTTTTTTTTTTTAACCTGGTCTATGACAATTCACCCCAGACAACTCGTTATGGGGACAACTTGTCGTGAGACAAGAGTTACACTAATATCAACGATATGGTGGAATACAATCAATAAAGAAAGGATGCAAAAAGAGGGACAGAATGAAATGTGAATGACAAAAATTAAAATAAGATTTTATTTATTTTAATTAAATTGAAATGTTACATTTTCCCACAGTGAGTTGTCCCATGGCGACTTGGCCGTGGTTAGCTGCCCATTCCATTTTTTACCGTAGTCATTAAGCAAATCTGGGTTCCTTTGTTGACTTTGTTGGAAGCCCCTATAGTGATCACATGGCTGTGGGGAAGCTGCAACAGTTGTAAATCTGGGGACCGGTTGTAACTAACTTTTTCACTGCGGTTGTTACTTCAGCCATTAACCAAATGATCATAAGTCATGGGCTATCTGTACATGTAAAAGAAAAAGGGAGAAGAAGGAGGAGAGGAGCGAAACTAAGCTACTGAAATATCTTCCCCAAATACAAAACTATAAGAAGCAATCATATCACTAAAAGTCCCATCCTTCATGAAAGCCAAAATCAGTTATCTGGGCAGGGAGCCTTGCTGAATAGGACTAAAGGTAAAGGTTCCCCTTGCATATATGTGCTAGTCGTGCCCGACTCTAGGGGGTGGTGTTCATCTCCGTTTCAAAGCCGAAGAGCCAGTGCTGTCCAAAGATGTCTCCGTGGTCATGACTAAATGCTAAGGGTGCACGGAAAGCTGTTACCTTCCCACCAAAGTGGTCCCTATTTTTCTACTTGCATTTTTTATGTACTTTCGGTCTGCTAGGTTGGCAGAAGCTGGGACAAGGAACGGGAGCTTACCCCGTTATGAGGCATTAGGGATTGATGCCAACCTTTCAATCAACAAGCCCAGCATCTTAGCCACTGAGCCACTGCGTCCCTTAGGTGAATAGGACTAGAGGCGGGCAAAACACAAAGTCTAAACTTGTCAATTGCTGCTCTGCCTCAGCTGGCATAATGTGTCCTCCATTGACCATTTTGTCCTTTTTTTAACAACCACCTTCAAAAGGTACCTCGTTATTCCATATTGAATTGAAAACTTCATCTCATTTAATGTTACTGCCAATTTATTGCACATCTTCGCTTTCACCTTTTTCAACCCCTGTCACCTGTCCCATATTTATATTAATGCGAGAGAGCTGATTGGATCCACTAAAAGAGTGGGCGGGGTTGCCGATGATTGAAAGGGGCAACCTGAAACTTTCTTTTTACTGGCTACATTTGTTATTGCCATTAATGTATGTCCAGAAGATAAAGAGGGAGAAAAGGGCTACTTTCGAGTTCATGTATTGGCAGATGAGTAGTCACTTGTATGGGCTATATTTTTACATGTTGAGGTTCTTTACTTTAAGAGTTACAATATTTGACTACAAAAGGCACATGTTACAATGTTAAAAGTACATGCAGCTGTAGGTTTAAGGATCCCAAGTTTTATGGGAACAGATGTAGCTTCAAATGAGCCAGGAAATGAAGAAAGAATTCATTGTTTGGATGCCATCAAAGGGGCAGCAGTGTCATCAGTTGTAATTGCCATCTGGCGCAGGGCAGAAGCTATATGTCTGGCTTTCATTTAACCTCTCCTAGTCTGAAACGGCCCCTTAGTATCTCTTTTACTTCTGCATAAAGGCATTTTCCCATTTGTTTTTCAGTCCCCGGATCCACCAGTTCTAAATATATCACAATGCTCAGGTGCCTTGTTCAAAGACTAATTTAGAAAAAAGAAAGAGAAATTCAGCCATGTTTTGCCAGGTATTTGTTTAAAATGACATTGTACAACAGGGCTGTGCAAATCATTTCTCACGGGATTTCAACCCTCTGGATGTGTTTCTCCCATTTACTGGTGGAAACATTTCTATATGTGCAATACGCAGTTCCAGAAGGCCTCTGGAGACCCTTGAAGTATGTCCTGTTTTTCAGCAATTGCAGCTGCTTTTCATTTTGAGAAACACAAGGAGCAGAGCAGCTGAACTAATTATTTGTACAGGCTTATTCTTAGGGACATATGGGCGGCAAAAATCCATACAACCACTAAATGGCAGCAAACAGATACAGAAAACTCTTTTTTTTTCTTTTGTCACTAATAATTCAATAATAAATCCATATTTCAGCAATCTAGATACAGCAATTCTGCTATTCTATAATTCTGCAAACACTTCCCTACCCCAACTTCAGTAAGAGGTTCTGCCCTCAGTATCTGAATTGTGGGGTGCCGCAGGGTTAGGTGCACTCTATCTCCTATTTCACATCTATATGAAGCTGCTGATGGAGGCCATCCCAACTATATATCTCCATCGCTAGTAAAGTAAGGAATGGTGCCTTGTGCCTCAAGGCTGAGGGGTTAGGATGGGGAAGCATTGGGCCAACTCTAGCAAGACTGAGTGCCTCTAAATTCTGGGGCCACCTGGATCTAAGAATTTACTATATATGGTTCTGGATGGGTTTGTACCCATCCAGAATCAGTGCACAATCTGGAAGTCCTTGTTGTGGCTCCGTTATCTGAGCCTGTGTCATCGGCAGGAGAGGACTCCGAGAGTGAAGGAGAGGAGTTGGCAAGGCCTCCCTCTCCAGGACCCTCCTCTCTGGCAATGCCTTCGGTGTCCGCTGAAGGGCAAGAGATAGGGCCGGGGCCAAGCACGTCCACGCAGCCACAGATGAACAGTGATGAGGGTAATGAGTCTTGGCTGGATCCATGCCAGCGTCGCAGAGATAAGTGCGTGTAACAGAAGAAAAGGCGTGCCCGAGATTAGGCTGAGTCACTGGACCACACCCCACAGGATATAAAAGGGAGCATGGTGGCCAGTCAAACCTTGTGACGAACAAAGCTGAAAGCTTCCACGCCATTCTGCATTGCCGGAATTTTGGCTATAAGACTTTACTGGATTATCTCTGGACTTGATTTGACTCCGTAATTATTGAGTTGTTTCTTTTGATGTTTCAGAAGTGGGGAGAAGTTATCTCTCCTCTTTGTAAATAATAAACTCTTGGCAGGCAGCCACTAGGTTGTTGCCAAGTTCCGTTATCATAAGGAAAAGGATTTTGCCGGCTGGTTTGGTCTTTAACTCTTGAACGTCTGTTGGTGTGTGTGCGTGGGGTCGGGGACAGAACAGTCCTTTTGCATCATGACTTCTGCTTGAAGAACAAATAGAAGCTTGTAGCTTTGCACAGATTCAATGTGTGTGCCAGTTATGCTCATTCCTGGAAGAGGAGGCTCTATGCTCAATCCCTCATGCCTGGATACCTTGCATATGGATTACTATAATGCACTGTACATGGGGTTGCCCTAAGGCTATTTGAAAGCTTCAGGTGGTGCAAACTGGAGAGGCATGGACTGTTATGTGTGCATCTAGTTCTGTGCCCATTACACCTCTGCTCTCTGTGAGCTGCACAGGTTACCAATTCTATTCTGGGTCCAATCAAGGTGTTGGTGATGACCTATAAAGCACTACATGGCATGGGCTAGGTCAGTGATGGCGAACCTTTTAGACACCGAGTGCCCAAACTGCACATGCACATGGCCAAAATGAAAGGTGTCCGTACATGCGTATAAACGTGAATGTGCCGACATTTGCATGTGCATGCATGCATGTGCATTCATGTGCATGCATGGACATGCACGCATGCGCAGCAGAGACCCGAAGACCAGCTGGCCGGCGGAAGGCAGGACATCCCAACACCGGCAGTGCAGCATGAGGTAAGATCTTTTTCTTTCATGAGCTTCTGTTTCATAGTTTGCAGGGAAACAGACACTCACAGAAAAACACCACGGAGATCTGACCTGGGGTAACGGCACATGTGCCAACAGAGAGCGCTCTGCATGCCACATGTGTCATAGGTTCATCATCACAGAGCTAGGTTATTTGAAAAAGGTGAAAGATGGGCAGTGGAAATTTTATTGTGGACTAAGTTTTGCGTGCAGGTGGAAGATACCATTCAGATCAGAGGTGCTATTCAGCAGGTTCTGACAGGTTCTGGAGAACAGGTAGCGGACATTCTGAGTAGTTCGGAGAACCAGCAAATGCCACCTCTGGCTGGCCCAAGAGTGGGGTGGGAATGGAGATTTTGCAATTTCCTTCCCCCAGGAGTGGGGAGGGAATGGGGATTTTGCAGTATCCTTCCCCTGCCACGCCCACCAAGCCATTCCCACAGAACCGGTAGTAAAAAAATTTGAATTCCACCACTGATTCAGGTGCTTTCTGATTGTATGAAAATCCTTCAGATTTGAAAACTGACCACAATAACTAGGGCTTAATTTAGGTTTTTTGGTTTGGTTTGGTTTGGTTCTTTTAGGAGGGGGACCACTGTTCACAATGCCAAGGGACTCTTCACCATGCTTACATGCTTAATGTCACTCACAGTCCCAAAAGAGCTAGCTACACCTATAGTTTGCAATAGTGGCAATTATCGGTACCTTGGGATGAGGGTGAAGGTTTCTTCTCTGAGCTTGTGGGTTGGTTTCCGAACATTTTGTTACCAGGCTAGGTAGCATCTAAGGGGATGTCAGTGTTCTGTTTATAAGGGATAGCACTGACCCTCAATCAACCCCCACCCCACCCCACCCCTGCCCCACCCCCCAAACCAGCACTTCACCTCCCAATGACCCTCACCTGATGTAACCTCCCCATCACAGACCCATCAAATGAAAACAAACAAAATGTTTAAGTTATATTTATGTAGTTACTCACTAAGCACATCTAAATTATATTAAAGTAACAAAAATATATTTACAATCCCCAAGGCATGTCACAATTTTTGAGCACCTCTAATGTTTGGAAATTGAAAGTTGAAAAATTTGACATGCCCTACCATCACAAGACTCTCACTGATGACTCACATCTGACCCATCACAAGACCCATTACAAGACCATCACTTGACACACCTGTTGTGGCTCCGTTACCTGAGCCTGTTTTATCGGCAGGAGAGGACTCCGAGAGTGAAGGAGAGGAGTTGGCAAGGCCTCTCTCTCCAGGACCCTCCTCTCTGACAATGCCTTCGGTGTCCTCCGAAGGTCAAGAGATAGGCCCGGGGCCAAGCACGTCCACGCAGCCACAGGTGGATAGTAATGAGGAAGATGAGTTTTGGCTGGACCCTCGACAGCGTCACAGAGATAAGCGCACGCAGCAGAGAAAGAGGCGTGCCAGGGATTAGGCTGAGTCACTGGACCACACCCCACAGGGTATAAAAGAGGGTGCGATGGCCGGTTCAGCTCTGTGACAAGCAAAAAACGGATATCGGACGACCTTCTTTGTATTTACTGGACTTTGTTGATTATTGTGTATTGGCTTTGTTCCCGGACGAAGGGAGAAACTCCCCCCTCGTGGGTAAAGAATACCTGGCAGCCAGCCACTGAGTTGCTGCCAATTCTGATACCGGATAAACTGTTGT